TATTTGTCAACTAAGTCAAATAATAATTTGTAGATCAATTTGATGATCTTTTAATAATGTTAATTTTGCAGTTAACATCATAAGTTTCATCATAGAATTCATCATCAACGGATTGATCTGAAGTGTCGTGAAAGTGACCCTTTCTATTGGTAAAGAGATCTAGGAAAAGAAGGGGTTTCAGGTTCAGATCGTAGGTCGAGATAGGAATCCGTAAGTTCTCTAACTCACAGACGAATCCAGCCATCAATCTGGTGTAATGGAAGTCTTCATTATGACTTCATCAGGAAGATCGTAGTTTGGCACTACTACATCTTGTGGATTGAAAGGAGGAGCGGTAGGGTCATTCGGAATGTGCCTGGCTCTCAGAAAAGATTCATTCAGATACGGACGTCTACGAGATGAGGACAACAGATCAGTGAAAGGTTAAAGGTATGGATTATTTTGCGTTAATCAGAAAGCAACACATCATAGGATCAGGTCATCAGTCAAATGGTCAGACTGATTCAGGGTAGTAGATTTGAACCCAAGATTGTTAGTGGGTTCTAGGATGGCACCTATAGTTCTGGAGTATAAGGCGTGTGCTCTTATGTTACGGGAGTAATCCATAGTTCCCGTTAAACTCTGATATTCTGAAAACGGGTTACTGTTCAGTAATCTTCCTAAGGCACAATAGAGGTAGACAGGTGATATATGCTTTCTTCTGTGTAATAGTACAGAAGCGATTTCATCAGGCATGAGTGAAAGGTGAGGGAAGTTAAATCTGGTGGATGGTCTTTTACACGATTCGCAAGTTAGAACTCTAAATTCCAGAATTTGATCTTGGTTTGGGTTAAAGGATAATGATATATCAATTAAGTGGATTCGTTGTTGTATAGGATAAAGGAACGAAGGGTCGTAGAATGACCAAGAGACTTTATCAGAATACAACAATTTTTCACAGTATACGCATGCGATTCTGGGATATTGAGTCAGAATGTTATTTTGAAAGCGGTTGTATAACCTCTGGAATTTGGTTAAAAGTCTCTAGTGAGATAGCTGAATATTCGTTTGATTGATTAGATCAACGTTTATGATGGTATCCTTTAAGTTTAAGCGAAATCTATGGTTATGATCAGGTTGTTGAATGAAGAAGTTCGAAATGGATTCGTACTCGGTATTGAATACATAGATATTATTGATCTGATGGGCCATTTATTTGCTAAGTATTATTTATCAATAGTTCTTTTTTAATTTTTATTTTAAATATATATATTTTTTTTCTTTGTG